TAGCAGAAGCGGTTTCCACGGTAAATAAATTTTATTATAAAATTTAAATTATTATAATAATTAATAATGGATTTTTAAAAAATGAAARAAAAAATGTAACAAATAGTCATTATTTTTTTTTTTTATTATTATTAGAATAAGCCTCGGCAGTGTAGGCCACTGGCTGACGTTTGACAATTAACAATTATATAAGATTAGTTATTACAATGATTTTGTTATTAGTACATTACATAAATAGTTATTTTTATAAAACATTTTCAGCTGATATTTCCATTTAAATGGCAATGTCCATATATTCCATTATGTCCTCTTGGTTTAGCTGAAGTCTTACATGCTCCATTACCATTTCTGATTGGAGTTGATTCAAGATTTTTTGATTTATATGAGCCACCCACAGATGTAACTTGTGTGGATCTGGATACTAACACTATAACACTGTAAAAATCATTTTTTTATTTGTTTAATTATTTATAATATACATTTTTKAACTTATTATTTTGTGTATACAGTTGTGAAGATAAAAAACATTTAACAGCAAAACTACTTCCTAAAAAACCAACAAGAACATTAAAGAATACTTTAGAAAAACTCAATGAAAAACTTGATGATCTCCAAAGAACTTATAAAGCTACTTCCAATAAAAGTATTGAAGAAACTAATATTGATAGAGATTTTTTAAAAAAAAGGAAAGAGGTAATAGTATGATATATATTATTTATTATTATTATTATTATTTTCTACAGTTTATTTGAATATGAAATTTTCTGTACTTAAAAATAACTACCGAATAGCTTTATTATTGTAGATATAAGTTTGTCAAAAACTTACGTYGCACCCGCATGTGTTGTTTCCGTTTTACACACGTACGACATAGGAAATGTTCGTTCTCTAGTTACAATAGGGTATTGTCAGTYTTGATATTAGAGTGAATCCACCTATTATCAAACTTTTAGGTAGCAACATTATCTGTGTTCTCTTGTTGGTTTTTTACAATATTTWAATTTTTAAATGAGTTATGGGTATGTAAATTATGAATATTTTAAAATGTTCATAACTTACTTAAAAATTAAAATATTGTAAAAAATCAACGAGAAAACACAGATAATGTTGCTACCTAAAAGTTTGATAATAGGTGGATTCACTTTAATATTAAAACTGACAATACCCTATTGAAACTAGCAAACGATAATTTGCTAGGTCGTACGTGTGTAAGATGGAGACAACACATGCGGGTTAGACGTCCTCTTAACATTGGACTATATATTGTGTTCAATGTGATCTATTTTAGTGTCTTAAAACGTAATTACAAGTATTTTAAGTTTTATGATAAGAGTAGGTATTTCATAAAATATTGATGTACCTCTTTGTTTATCTTAACTTTAAATAATTATAATTAGTTAACTTCTTGATCTTWATATATAAAAATTATTTCTCAGCAAAATAGAAGTTCTAAAATGTATAAAATCATTTTAAATTGCTATGTTTTTAACCTAAAAGATAACAAGAATCTTAAAAATATGATAATTGTGAAAAGTATAATTTTTTTTAAATGTTATTTTGCAATTCTATCAAGTTATGTTAAAAATATTTAAAACTGAAATATGGAGTTTCATTTAGTTGCATTTCATTATATGCGTAATTTTTATTAAATAACCTTAGATATTTTTTTAAAACATTCTTTTTTAGATATGCAACTGCACTGATCTATTCTTTGATAATGCCCCAACTCCTCCTTTCTACTAAAAATATTTCTTTATATTTGCTATACATATATAGGTTAATCTATTAAGTGTTTAAGAATATTTTATTTAGAAAATAAGACTCGGAGCTAAAATTTATGATTATTATATAATTATGTATACATTATGACAATTATTGTCAAAATTTATTCGATAATTCAAAAATTATTGATACTTTTGATAATATGTTATCTTACTAATTTTATCTTCATAATTTGTAAAATTACATTTTTAATTTCATACTCCTAAACGGAATATATAAATGGATATATCCAAATATATTACAATATTTATACTGATATAACAATTCAACATTTTTAAAGAGTTGTTGATAAGTTGTAACAGTGATTTGTAAGTTTATGATCTAAACAAATGTAAATATGTTTCTAAATGTTTTTGTTGTTCTTCAAAAAAAAATAAAAATGGAAAGCTAAAAGTATCACAATAACTAAAATAATACTTCTTCTAAACATATTTTCTTATAACATTTATTTTTAATAATTTGTATGATTTTAAATCTAAATTTTAACTTGGAAATTATCTTCTATGCTATACTAAAAAAATAAATAAATGCATTTTGATATATGATTATTAATGCTGTCATTATAAAAATATTGAACAGCTTTGTAATAATTTCAAATTATGTAGGTAAAAAAAATAAAAAATAAATAAATACTTTTCATGATAATGGATGATSCATTAAAAGAATCAACCTATTCACTTTATATAATAATGCAATTTGTAATACTGAAAACCCTATGATAAAATATGTTTGAATGTAAAATATTGTTGTTGGATAAAATTCATATCAAATTACAAGTGAAATAATGATATTTTCATTGGAGATAAAGTTATGTCTTAACAGAAATACATATTTATTCATATTATGTCATGTAATGTAGTTAATATATAATATTATGTAATATGRCTATTCATAGGTGTGTCCAGACCTCATTCGCAGGTCATGCMCAACAGTGGCATATCTAGGGGATGGGGAAACTGCCAATCCTCCCCCTCCCTCAAAAAAAAAATAAAAATTTGTTAGGGTTTGGGGATTTGTATTATACACATGATGAAAAATAAAAAATTTAATATGAAAATAGAAATTGAGAAAAAAAGGTTCATATTATGCATCAAAATGTACTATGCAAATTTGATCAAATTTGAAGGTCATGCCTGTGCATGACAGGCATGACCCGTGGACACGCCTATGTGGCTATTACCTTATTCATAATGTTTTATTTATATATATATATATAATTAATTAGTTATTACAGTATATTTAGTTATATTTGGATAATAATATGTTCAAAATAAACAACTTATTTGAGAATAGTAGTATTGCCTTATAACTTTGTTTTACTAAATTATGATTTATATTTTGTAAATATCAGTTTTTATTGAATATAATAACTATTTACTATTCATCATTTATTTTTAGCATGAATTAGAATTAGAGATTCAGGAAGCTTTTCTTCGTTTTATGGGGTCTGTACTAAAAGGATATCGATGGTATCTAAGGCCTATTACTAAAGCACCTACAGTAGGGGCAACAGATACAAGTTCATTGTTTGATTTGCAAGGTAATTGTATTAATATAATATTTAGTATTCAGTATTCAATCAATGAAAAAATGTAAACTCATAATCTTAGTTATTATTAAACAATATTTAAAAAAAATACAATGCACTATATACATATAGARGTAAATTACTTTATTATTTACTAAAACTTGTACTGTTGAATGTTTAGGTTTTTTAAAATCCAGAGAAAAGACAAATGTGAAATTTTATTCCCTTTTAACAAAAACTCAAATGTTTATAAGGTTTATTGAAGAACGATCATTTGTTTCCAAYATGGATGCTGCTTTAGAATTTTTTGATGAGTGTTCAGAAAAGGTATTATTAAACTTCATAATTAATTTTTCTTAATAACCAAGGTACTCAAAATTGTTTTTCAGATTGATTTTGAAAACTATGATACAAGACTGATAGAACTTGACACATGTGGCGAAAGTGAAAGGACTGTGTTCATTATGCCTCCAGAAATGAACGATTTACCATTTGATACTCAGTATACTTATGAAGTAAAATACGATAATCTATGCTTTGTTAAAATCAGTTGTTAACTTACTTGCGTGTTTTTTTTCTAGAATGGGTTTATCTTAAATTCTGATTTATTAAAGTGTAAAGAGTCGAAAAATTATTTGAAAGTAAAAAATGATGAGCATCTACCGATTCCAGGTAGTCCAATGGCTAGACGTACCAAACATGAAGTAAAATCAGCTCAAAAACTGGCTCGTAAATATTCTACATCTCCTAGTCTTTGGGCTAAATTTTTACTGGGAACATGTTATAGGTAATATAATGATCTTAAAATATTATTGCACCATAATTGTATAATTACTCTTTGATTTACTGCAATATGTAATATAATAAGTGCCGATATTTATTAAAAAATAATTATTGTTTTTTATTTTATTTTTCTATGCTTATCTTTCACAACACTTAATTTTTGGAATTTTTTATAAATAATTATTTAAAGTAAATCATAAATTAGTTAAATTGTTTTTCAATAAATCTTTTTTTTTTTTCTAGTTTATGGTTTATTCATTTACCAAGTCATATTCTTCAATCAGAAGAACGTGCCGCATCTACTCTGCGTTCAGCATATGAGTTATTAAATAAATTTCAAAAAACTGGTGTACATTTATTGACTGATGAGGTTTGTCTTTAAAGTATTTTCTATAGCAACAAAATATTTATTGATATTTATGGCAGAAAATGAATGAATTAATTTAAAATAACAAAATTAATAATATATGATATTGATTAATTTATAATRAAATAAAAATCTATTATTGAGTTTTTGATTACAAATTTTTTCAAATGTGATTAACAGTCATAATATTCAAACTAAAATTAATAAAATTAATAGTAAAATAAGTGCAGCATATTCTGTTTGTATTTCTTTGTGTTATTCATATTAATTGTTGTTATAAAAGATAACTATTATTTTTGATTTGTAAATATCTACTAAGCAATAATTGATAAAGTTTAGATATTGAACAGAGGTAGGAATGTAAAAATGTACTTTTGATAATTCGTTTCTGCAGAAAAACTAAAAATTTATATAATATTTTTATCTATTTATTAATATAAGAGTTGTTGAAACCTTAATAAACTAAAAAAAATAAATATATTTATATATACAGGGTGATTCGTTTATCAAACAACACTCATTATTCATAAAAGTATTGACGTTTTTCAAAATATTGTTTACATAGTTTCAAGTTGTTAAAAAACCAACGCTTTTATTAAAAAATTATATTTTTAAATATTTTTTATCCTTATAATTTTTTATAAGTTTTTTACTTTTTTGAATGGCAACATAGTTTTTTAATTTCATATTCCAAAGCRGAATATTTTTCTAAAAATTTTGATTCGTAAAAATTGAATTTAGGACGAGTAGTATTTTTAATTTACACTATATTAGATTTAAAATTAACTCACTAAAAATTGAAATATTGTAAACATTTCATTTATAAACACAGATAATTTTGTTACCATCAAATTTCATTATTGGTCAATTCACTCTAATTTTTAAACTAGCAATGATAGTACTTRTGAAACGGAAACAACAAATGGCTATGTAGTGTCCTCTTAAAAATACTATAAGAGATAGTGACTTATCTATGTCTTATTCTGATAAGTGACTTGTGGTTATAGAGGTGTATGCAACAAAAATTACTATTTTACGATATTTTACATATTTCAAAAAAACTAAATACTAGACAAATTTTTGTATTACTAACTTCTTCAATACATCACATCATAGACATACAACATACATTAAAAAATTTACTTTAAAGKTTTGTAAATTATTGCGTGAAACAAGCCACTTTTACATATATAAGCTAGAAATATTTAATTCCTCATAAGCCATTGAATAATGTGATAAAAAATATTAAACCTTTATTATTTTTCTTAGAATTGAACAATGTATCAAACTAAAAAAATGTATTTTTTGTGTTTAGGTTTGCTACAGGGTTATGATGCAGTTATGCGGTATTTATAATCAACCAATGCTGGCTGTAAAACTATTACTTGTAATGAAACGTTGTGGACTTCATCCCAATGCAATAACATATGGCTTTTATAACAGAGCTTTGTTAGAATCTACTTGGCCGTCTGATTTAAGAACACCTAGTCAACTGCTATGGAAAAAACTTAGGCAAGTACCTGTTTTTACTAATGTTAAAAATTGTATTTTAGATTCTGAACGGAGCGATAAATGTATTGATTTTACAATGTTGTGTGTTTTTTGTGTGTGTCACGTACACGATAAGTTGTGGAAATAATGCTTCGATTTTCAACTTCTGTAGCTTCTCCGGTTGGAAAGTGAATCAGTTGGTGCTCTGACTACTGGGGAAGTAAAATTTTGAAATTCCCAATAGTTTTCAAAAGCACCTGGAAAAACCAAAAAAAATATTAAGGAAAACGGGAATATTTATGCTAAATCATTTTTTGAGAAAATCTATTTTAGATATTAGGGTAACTCTAAAACAAATTACCATACATGAAATTTCCACTGAATATTTATATTGACATTTTCTGTACATGATAAAATTTTCAAATATTTCTAAGTTATTTATAGACATTTGAAATTTTCAATCTTCTTAGTTTTATTTTTAAATAAATAACAATAAAATCTTACTCGTTGGATAAAAAAGTCTCAAAATTTAATACAATGATACTAATATATTTTCAAAATGGTAGTTTAAAAATACATAATATGCACGATTTTTTTATAACCATTTAAAGTTCAAATGTTGACAAAATTAATTTAATTTAAAATTAAAAAATTCTTCAGTTATTAAAAATGTATAAAATGTTTAAATTTTATAGCTAAAGATTGAAAATTTAAAACAAGGTTCCAAGTAAGTAGTTAATTCTGCTGCTGCAAAAAAAAATCTAAAAACAATTCAAACACAGGTTTTTTATAGTTATTTTAAGTTCAAATTTGGATAAAATTACATATTAAATAATCAAAAATAACAACTTTAGTTATAGTTGTAATTTAAAAACATTATTTGTGGGTACTTCAATTTCTAAAGTATACTTTATATTCTAATATTAATAGTTAATGTTGTTAGTGACTTATATTAATTACTAATTACTTTATAATCAATTGTATATATCTACTTTGAATGACTGAGCGAGTTGGGTTGTTGGGTACATAWTTATTATGATTTGATTAAAATGGAATTTATTTTGTGGGTGTCTACATTCTTTTTTTTTTTTTAAATAATAAGAATATAATAAATTTATATAGCATAACCTATCCTAGACTGATAAACCGTTTGCCACTCAGAACCGTTTTTTGAATACAATGATATTATACCACTGAATTCAAATTTAATACCATCCATTTCAGTAATCCATTTGTAACCTACTGTACAGCAGAGCGACATACAGTTACCGCTATTTTTATTTTAAAATTTACATTTTAATTTAAACGGAAGTATTATAAAATTATGTTAAAATATTAACATCAAAAATCAATTTGCAACATTTWTTTCAATATTAACTCATCTTTATAATGCAATTATACCATTTATATTTTATTATAGAAATGTAGTATTAAGTGCAGCATTGTTTAAGAAAGCTGGGGCCCAGAATAAAAAACGAAGAAATTTAGAAGAGGATAAAAATTCCCATACCTCTTTAGAAAGCTTGTCTACAACAGAAAAACAACCTTCAATATCAAATAGTGAGTTATTACTTATGACATTTTTGTTAAATAAACATAGAAATAGTTAATTTTATATACCTGTTACTGTGAATGTCCGCAATT